AGCATCTGAATTACTGCTGTAGAAAGGCTGCCCCCTGCCGGAGATTGGTGGAGAAGCTACATACTAGTCCTCTGTCCAGACAGACTGGTCTGGGGTTAGGAACTCAAGAAGGTCCCAATACACACAAGTCAAGAGCATCGGTTCCTCACTCCATGTCCTCTACGAGCAACTCAATCCAGAGCAGTATCTCGTGGCATACAAGGAGGCCACTGAGGCCACTATTAACAGAGTCCTCAGGTCCACAGCCTTTGTAGCAGCCCATCCAGCCTGTCTGGGGAGGTGGCATCGCCCTGGTGTGAACTCTCAGCAACACTACAGGCCAGAGAAAGCTGTAAACCTTTACAGAAGCAGGCCCTTCATGGTTCTCTTGCAGAGGAGCTGGTGGGGTGGAACTACTGAGCCTTTGGTTAGCAGCCCAACGCTTAGCTTACCGTGCCACCAAGGGCTCCTTTTGGGGTAAATGCTGAGGCTTACAGGGGAGGAGGGCACAAGCACGTGTCCTGCCTGGCTGGTCCCAGTTCTCTACTCTCCGAGTCATCATGATAAATAAAAACGCCACTTGGCATTTGTAGACGACTTATTCATTTTCAGAGCACTTTCCCTTTACCTCATTTGATCCCTTCTGCCCACTTGCCCAGTCTTGGGCTCCAGCCTGGTTAAACAAGGAAGGAAAGCTGCAGCTGCTCAACAGGGTCCCCCGACCTCCCTCCACACTATCCAAGACTGAGAACCAACACCCAACAACAGCACCAGTCCACAACACTCAAGCTTACCATGCAAATTTTAAACCATTTTTATTTTCATGTCAGTTTTTTTTCTCTTTTCAACCTTCACATGGAGTCCTGGTGTAGCTATGTAGAATAAACAATAGACTGCTAACCTAAAGTTGGCAGTTCAAACCCATCAGCCACTCCTCAGAAACCTTACACAAGGGTGGTTAAGCTTCAGAATGACAGTACATAACAACCCTTCACATAGCCTTCTCTTCTCTTCAATGGAGCTACTTTTTTTAACACCAAAATTCAACCACAGATGTAAAAAATCAGGCCAATCTGGGGTACTTTATCCATCACATCACACACAATGCTAATCCAGAAGTCTAAGCCCACAACCTCATTGACTACAGTAGTCACCATATTTGAGGTTACTCAGGCAATGGCAAGAACACAAAAGTTTGGATTTCCTTCCAAAACCCTTCTCAGTTACATGGTAAACGGTCTACAATCCAGGAAATACA